CCTTTTCATCGTTTAGCTGTGGTATTTGAGCAAAGAACTTATCCGTTGTAGTAGCCATCGTGTCCTCTCTTTTACGCAGTAGGGAACGATGCTAGGCTCACAACCTGTAATAGTTTTTATTGAAAACACTGATATCAAAGTCCAAAAGATAGAGAGGAATAATGAATGTGTGTGTGTGTGAAAGAATCAGAAGAACCAAAAAGAACCAGAATTGCATGAAACAAAATCAGCTATATATACACATGCATATGATTAAATAATTCTGGTTACAACTAATGAATCACATTATATTACAATAGTAAGTTCTTAATTGTGGACTCAAATGATATAATAACAGAATCAGTTGTCTATACTTGTCTATTAATATATTGTGAATTATTAATTTTATTACGTCATTTTTGTGTGACATAAAAGACTGACTATAAGACTGTCAGTTATATCAAATCAATTAATATGTCATACACAAATTAATTACCAATCTTAATTCTATAGATTAATCTACCGGACAATGTCACTAGAAGATACTATCATTCTCTCTCAGTGTGGAGTATGACCCCAACTACTAACTTGATGATTGAATTTGGAGGATACACATCATACAAAGATACAACAGCGATTGAACTCAGTAAGTACATGTATACAGTAGTAGATACAATGTGTATTGAATATGTAATAATAACTAGAAGAATGTAGAACATTAAAGGGGCAAGCCTAAGCAAGCTATAGATTGTGCTGCATAATCTACATGCATGAGAAAGCAAAGCAATTGCACATGCAAGTCTATAGATCTTATTGCAGTCAAAATTTCCTCTATCACTTCCTCACTTAAGAATCTCTGCAGTGTTACAGCAATTAAACAGTCACTGATTTGAAGATTGTTCATCTGCTTTGTTAACCTAGGCTTGCTGCTAGAGAAGAAACATCACCTATAGAATAGATCTCATGATGCATGCAGCTAGCTACAGTACATCCAGCTTTCTCACCTTGCATTCAACTTATCAGAGTCCTTTATATCAAGAATAAAGATTCTATATTTGCTTTTCTAACCTTTCTTCTTACTAGAGAAGTCTTTGAACAGCAGTTTAGCCTTATCTTTGCTGACCGTTTCCTGCAAATAAGCTCAGGCTTGCTGTTAGCTGCCATTTTATTCATTGTGACCACGCATGCTTTCAATGAAGATTAGGCTATTTAACTTTAATAATAGTTAGACGACCCTATCATGCCCATGCATATATACAGACACTCTCTCATCTTTGTGGGGCGAGCTCAGGCTCGTCCCAATTAGTAATGATAATATTACAATAAAGTAAAAATTCTTATGATGAATATGTAATGAGAGCATTTGACGTATACCTATGATACTAATTATTACCAGTTCATTCCTGCTATGTACAATAGTGAAATAATTATAATGACTACAGATATAGAAACACAGATATTAATAGAATGAAATATTATTATCAGTGTATCAATATACAATAATATATTCATGTGGTTAACTGTGTAAACTGACGGAGGTCACACATACAATGATTATTAAACATGAATCCATCAATAATAAGATTACCATAGTCACTAACTGTAATTAGTGTATTTCTTCTATTACATTATTTTGTTACTGTATAGGATATACTAGTGATAATGATTGGTCTACTAGTGTAATACTTCTGGACCAGTATCAAGATCAACTAAGAAGAAGAATACTGAGTGATTGGGAGAGTATAGGAACAGAAAAACAGCTTCAAATATTTCAAGATCGTCTGCAATTACAAAGAGAGACGGAATTTTATCAGGAACAGCTTCAAAGAGAAATAAAAGAGAAGGAACAGATACAGCAAGATCGAGATAAAGAGCAGCAACAGCTTCTTCAAGAAAAGGCAACACTTACTCAGCAACTTGATGATGCTACCACTCTCCTTGAGCAAGCAGAAAAGGATAAATCAACTCTTGAATTAGGTACTATTGTATTATACTGTTGTTTATGTGTACATTGCTTCATTATATTACTAGTGGATTACACAATGTTGAGTATAGAAATGCATGTACATGAATCTCATTATTTGTAATGTATGGACGATTTGACATACATGTACATTTGAGGCTCATTGGTCATTGCTCATTGACTTATTCTTACCATATATGATAACATTAGCAATAATCATAGTATGTATTTATGAGCTAGTGTACATACAGTGCCATTGCAACAAATATCTATGTGTATTTTATTTTTATTAGGAGATTTATGAGAAGCTTAAAGCTAAAGTTGCTAATAATGAAGTATATATAACTGAAATATTGAAAGATAAGACACAAGTAGAGGAGAAGAAACAGATTATTACTGGTAAGTGTATTATCAGTTTATAATTTTAGATGAGAGAATTTTCTATTAATGTAGAAGATTATGAGAAACTGAAACTCAAAGTTGCCGAACTATTGAAAGAGAAGGAGGAACAATATCTCAAGGAGAAACAGATCATTATTGGTTAGTTAACTATACACACAGCATGTATTAGATGAGAGATTAATATGTCTATTGTGTAGACGACAATCGAAATTTTATTTCTGAGAAAAACAAAGTTATAGCCAAACTGTCATCAAATGAGAAACAGATCATAACTGGTTAGTGTATCATCATCAATCAATGATAGTTATTAATGTTCTATTAATTTATAGACCTTAAAGAAAAGGAGTTGTACATAGCCAAGCTAGTGAAGGAAAGACAAGAGAAGGTCCTCAAGCAACCTATCGAGGAGACTAGTTCCATTGGAATACAATTTAATTACCTGATCCCTTCAATGGGTAAGAGTATTATTATGTGATTCACTGCCAGATTTCAGAGTTTTTTGGCATAATATTGTTCAAGCTCAATAGATTGTCAAGCTGTTCAAAAATTGGGCCAAAAACCATGTACTAGTGTATTTTGACAAAATCAAAAGTAAAACTTTCTTGATTTTTATAACTTTTTCTGATACTTACAGGTGTGTATATAATTTTGATTAAGTTTGATTTTTTATAAATTTCTAAATTTGTTGAAAAATAGGGCCAACAACCAAATTCTAAGTTTTGTTAAAAATGGTTAATAGACAACTCTCCAATTTTATAATTTTTTGATACACATAATGTTGTTACATGTATCTTGTGTAAAAAATTTAAGCTAAGTCCAATCAAGCTTTGATTTTTATAAATTTTCAATATATTGATCTAATATTGGGCCATTTTTAATCATTTTAATCATTTTACTTATACATTTGTATGTGTTTATGTTGTGTAGAGAAGTTGAGCTGACTTTGATAAAATTTGGATTTTTAAATAAATTTTAAAGTTGCTCCAAATTCCATGTACTGTATTGTAGTGCTTTTGTGCTCATGACGCATGATGTTTAGCTTACTTAACATGCTTGCACAAATGTTTGTGTAAAATAATAATATTTATAAAATTAATAGATAAATTGGATTGTCTGAGTGATGTCCAAATAGCAGAGAGGAAGCTGTTCTTAATTCAAGGAGACAAACCTCAACTGATGAATTGGGAGAATTATGGTCTAAGGATTGGAGTACAAGAAGATAGCCTGTCCTGCACTGATACTGTAGAAGCAGCAGTGGTCGCTCTTGTAGGAGGACAGTTCCAGTTTCCTCCTAATACTGTCCTAGTCAGTGCTGTGTATGCAGTATCACTCTCAAAGCCTCTCCTCAAACGACTCAAATTAGAAGTACAGCACTGTGTTGATTTAACAGGACGGCCAGCTCTTAGTCGTCATCTCAAGTTTGCCATAGCTCCTATGAGCACACCCAGTCTTCCTTACCAGTTCTCAATAGTTGAGGGAGGAGAGTTTAAACCTGATAGTTGGTATGGATCTATTCAACGTAAAGAGTTCTGTTTGGTGGCTATTGTTGGGGAGAAACATCTACTCAAATCATCAACTAATGGAGACGAGTCAGAGGATGAGGAGGAGGAGGAGCTAGAGGAACAAGCAGAAGAGGAAACTGACAAGGAAGTGGAAGATGGTAATAGTGATTCATCCAGTGATTCTGATGAGACAAAAGATCCACAAGGAGGTAGCAGTGGAGGACAAGGTCAGTAATGAGTCAGTCAGTCAGTGTAAACTACATGTAGTATGAACTGAGTCTATTCCTTTATATAGGAGAGTCTACTAGTAATGAGGGAGTAGAGGAAGAGGGGGAGACTGGAGGTCAGCCATTGCATGATGAAGGAACTGAAGAGCAAGATAATGAAAGAGTAGAAGAGTCAAAGGATCATGAAGAACCACAGCATGAAGAAGCAAATGCTCCAATACCTTGTACTGAGACTAGTTCAGAATTTAATAGTGAGTTAGTACTTACATCAACACTGAAAAATAACATTATTATTATTATTATTATTATTATTATTATTATTATTATTATTATTATTATTATTATTATTATTATTATTATTATTATTATTATTATTATTATTATTATTATATTTGTGTATAGGTAAAATGGTTCTTTCCACTGGCATAGTAGAGAATATGACATATGCTGGACAGGTTTATTATGAGGAGAAATGAGCTAAAGAATTGGTGACCTTCACTGCAGCTAAGAAATTGAGTGCTCTCATTGAGGTACATTATATACAAGTACATTTACATGTTGATATTCATTTCTATAGTTCATTGAGAAAAAACACGTACAAGCTGAGATTGATCAACATGTTTATTTTTCCTATGATCCTTCCTATTCATATATTGAATTAAAGTTTGATGCACCTCAAGATGAGCCATTCATTGGTTGGAGTATTAAGCCTCACCTTAAGCCTTGTAGAGTAAGTACTGCAATATAATGTATAACTGATGGTTGGTATGTGTATATTAATAGTTGCGTCGTTGTGATGTTGATAATTTTGGTGATGCTAATTATTCTGTTCCTCCATCTTGTTTGATATTAATATATGGATCGCCTGGTGCTGCACCATCACTACATTACTCTGTACCACTAGTGGGTGTTATTGACCCAGTTACATTGCTCATTCATTGTTCATTCAGAACTACTCCTTCAACAAGTAATAGAATAGATCAATCATTTCAATTGTTTATTTATTTAATCATATCCTATACCTCCTCCTCCTCCTCCTCTAATGTAGTACATGAATCAGCGTCAGTATCATCCACTGGAGGAGCTAGTAAGTGATAATACTGTGTGTATATATACTGATCTTTGAGCTCTATTAGGTCCATCAGCTACCGTTGATGTCAATAAATTAAAGAAAGTGATCAATGATGTTCTTGTATCTCATTATGCTGATCTTACTTCACTACCAATGGAAGCTGTCCCTGATCTTGCAAATAAGTTGTTTACTCTTCGTTTGGTCAATAATGCTGTCAGAGGGAATCCTTCAATAGAGAAATGCATCAATGAGTTCAAGGCTGGTCTTACGTTTCAGCAGAAGTTACCTCAAGTGCAGGAGCACTGTCAAAAGTTTTTAAGCTCATTCATTGCAGTTAGTGGCAGTTTTGCTTATGCAGCATCAGCCTTGCACCAGGACTGGATTGAAGCTGTTAGAAATGAACTTGGGTTTGATTTTAATATCGATATTGATGCTTAATAATAATTTGATTCACTTTTTTATTTTGAATATTATTAAAATTATGTTAATTCACAATTAAATTATTTATTAGCAGAGAAAAGTTTAGCAATGGTGGTGCACAACAAAGTACAAACAGTACCACATGATTATAGTGTGTATAATCCAGTAGTGAAAACTATATAACATATTACACCTTACATTGTTTTGATTTAAGGAACACTAGTCAGACTGGTTGCCTCAAGTTTGTCTGGGCTCTACTGAAGTCTCCCAATGCTCACCAGTTCAGTATAGTTGAAGGAAGATCTTTTAGTGTCAGGAACAAAATAATATGGTTGTATTGAACGTGATGAATTTTGTGCTCTTGGTATTGTACATGTAGATACTGTAGACACACCTAATGGAGGTGGGAATGGATCAGAGAATGATACACAAACTCAAGGTATACAATAGTGTTTGTATTAATAATTTACTGTTGATGTGTTTGCATGACGTATAGGAACAAATAATAATAGCGAGGAGGAGACTAATGGAGGCACACCTAATGATAGCAGTAATGGAGCAGAAGAGAATAGTAGTGGAGGAGGAGCCACTCCATCAACAAGTACTACACCACCTCATGGTATGTAATTGTATCATGTCTATTATGTTTTACCTTATAGACTCAATTAATGATGATCCTTCTCAGTTAGTCCATGAGGTAGAATCCCATACTACTGATGAACCAACAGTACAACAGTCAGATCATGTACTAAGTGAGCTAAAGCTAGAACAGTGTCCAGCAAGGAATGATGATGAATCACTACAATCTTCTACTGATTATTCTCATTCAGACAATAATGGTATTCTATATGTATTACAATGATGCATACATATAATTTACAGCACCTTCTCGTGATGCATTGTATTCTTAATGATGTACTACGATAAGAAAGAAGCTGGTCATTGGAAAGCTATGTATTCTGTTGTTAGAGATTTGGAAGTTCTTAAAAGGGTAATAAAATATGCAGATACATGTAGATATGCCAATGCATACAAATTTTGATTATTCATTGTATTTTACATTCATGTAGTATTTAGAAAGCAAGCACTCATCAAGTATTGAATATGATGATGTTGTTGACTCATTTAAGTTTATGCATGCAACAAGTGGAAATCTAGAATTGACACTACACACTGTAGGATGGACTGTTAATCCTATCACTGAGAAATCCAATGAAAGTAAGTAGAAGGAGCCAGAAATATTTCTTTCTTGTATGCACATGTAGATGTTTCAGTCAAGAGTTGACCAGTTTCCATTAACTTCTCATACACATGCAACCTGCAGTGTATCAGTGTATGCTGAAATTGGTGTTGCTAAAAAGCTGCTTCACTATCCCATTAAACTAACTGGAATAGATCCTTCGATGACAGTCTATATTGACCGGCCTCTCCTTCATCAATCAGTTAGTGTATGATTTTAAAACTGAAATTATTTGTTTGTGTAGTAGACAGTACTAGCTCAAGATCCTCTACCATTACTATCATTCAAACCAGAAGAGAGACTGAAGAAGGTATTATGGGTAATATTAACATAATAACACACTAATCACTGAATTAATAGGTACATTTAGATCTGATATTGCTCACAGAGTAATGACAGAATGTACTCCTCTAATAAAAGATTGTGGGACTGATATTCACTTCTTAGTTGATAAATTGCTTCAATACAGAATTGTAAATGTTAGAGAAAAAGAAGAATAGTTGCGCGAGAAAGTGACGATGAAAGAATGGATGAATTGCTTCACATCATTTTGAGTTCCATTTGTATGGATGGAAAAGTATTTGGTATATTCTTAGATATACTCAGAAAGGAAGATACTCTAAGAACAATTAAACTAGCTAATGAGTTAATACAAAAATATGATTTTCTTACAACAGACTAAAAAGTATTTCTAGTAATGTATATATTTGATTAAAAGTACTTCAATTATTGAAATGACTATACATTGATGCAAGCATAAATAATAGAGTAATAGTAATAATAGTAATAATAGTAATAATAAGAATGACAGTAATTAATTAATGGCATTGCAAAGCAATGTACAGTTGTCATTTTCACAGATACTAAAGCAAATGCTTTTTGAAAGATAAACAGAGTCCACTATTGATATTTTTAAAAATGAACTGGGAATATTACATGTCTCATAATATCCGGTTTTAATGGTTGATAAATCCATCAGCATTAGCCTCTGATTTTGCCTTTACAATATTATTAGTTTTGTTGGTTTAGCAATACATGATGGAGATGTGTCCAGTTCTGACTGAAGAATCAGCATCTTATATATTATGCACAAAAATAGTTATAACAGGATCATCTTGATTAGTATTAGCAACAGTGTGCTGTTTTGTGATGTTATTTATAATCATTGGAATAGACCTGTGCTATACTGATTACAATAGCAGCCTTTGTAGCTTACTCACATATTACAGGAAGCATACTAGCTGATAAGTATGGGCTTTATTTCAACGGTGAAAAGTGTGCCATATCCCATTATTCTTATGTACAAAGTGAATGTATATAGTGGCAAATGGTTTCTATTTTTAAATTGTAAAAATCAGCCACACTTTTTAAAAAGAATGGACAGACAGACAGCCAATTGTTGAAGGTGCAGCTGTAGCTACTATATAAATACTGCAATAATTGCAAGTCCAATAATATCATCACTGGTCATTGAATCTGTTGTTGTTTTTATACTTTTTTTTATATGCTAGATAATGATATTATTATTATCAATTACCAAACATTGTTAGCATTCCTTTCCTCCTAGCGTATTGAGAGCAAATAAATCAAGTCCAACAAATAATTGGCTGACTATTGTCCGCCTAGTCTCCTAATGTGAGTACTTACTGACCATAATCATGATGATGTGTGTGCTATAAATACCTCACTTTCACTTTCAATGTCATTTATAAACTGATTTGTGTCATTTATGATCAGCTCCTAAATCACAAGATGATAAATAATAACAACATGTACATGTATATACATGTGCATGTATATACATATACATATACATGTACATGTACATGTATAGTCAAGCTTGCATTAAACTAACAGTTTCAGACTCTGCTATATGATTACTATATTTGCTCAAAAAACAGAGTTTTTCACCAGTCGTGAGGTTACCATTCTTTCAAAGTTCCCCAATAACTTGTACATGAGGTGCTGTCTAACAAGAGAACATAATTATGCTATGCCACCTCCTATTGTTATCATTGGGCGAAGCCCACTAAGATTAGTAGAGTTTGTTTGTTTGTTTGTTTGTCCACATAATCTATGGTTATAATGATGATAATAATAATAATAATAATAATGATTAATTAATGTATTACTTAAGATATTTATGAGTGCTCCTGGTGCAGGCATGTCATATACAAAATTTCCTCAAGATTGTTTTACTACACCAACAGAATCCTTGAATACACAAAGCTAGGTGAGGCCAATGACC